ATATGTCCCAAGTCGTCATAAAATAATAAAACGAGGAATTAAGAGGGATCAAGGAATACTGGTATATAGGCATTGATTTACTCTTACCCATCAAAGATGCAATGTTGTTCTTAAATACTAACAACCATAAATCTAATGTCAATCCTACAAGACAATTCTTCTTCGGTTTTCAGTAGAGGCCAATTTACGAATCCCTTTCATTCGCCTTTTTAAATAAATTAAAACGTACGTCAACATCGACCTTTAATGAGAGTCATCAAAACTCACTTTTTCCCATATCTATTAAAAAAATGCTAATCGCTTGGTAAAATAATGTATCTAATAGTGATAACGGCTAGATATGCACCTATTAAAACTTCACTCGATGGAAAGCAGCACGACTATATGATAAGTACATCAGGCATGTATTTTTAAGGGCAGCTAAAAATAAAATAAACCTGAGAAGGCTTTGCATTGCAAGAGAAGTTCACAACTTATCATTTACATTACGTTTTAATAAAATGTATTAAAACCTTTTCGGCACCTATCACCACTAATAAGCAATAACAAAAATCTTCGAAAAGAGAGTAATTTTATATAAACTATGGATAAATACAGATAAATATATAATATATATGATCTCTTATATAATATTAGTAAGTGTATAGTTTGTGGAGGAAATGAGAAACTTGTAAGAGACACCAAAATCTTCTGAAAATCTACCTCATTATATGAAGTCGCTTAGAATAAAAAGCGACACAAAATAAGTGACTTAGCTTTTCCCTAACTCCACACATTAATAAAGCATAATTCATACTTATTGAAGATGTAATTCACAAATGCACAAAGTCTAAGGTCTGATAAAGAGAATTGAAGTGACTTATAATACTGAGGGATGAGGACAAGGTCGGTTCGCCTAGACCTCTATGACAATGCGAGCAAGTTAAGAGCTAGAGGCTAAGCAAATTAAATACAACGATTGCGAATAAAAAAGGCACTGTGCTATTTCTATCTTCATGCCTCCGATTGAATTCTGAATGATTGTCGGATTGTATAAAATTGTTAATAATATTGATAGTAATTCTACATTTAAAAAATTAAAAAGTATGTCTAATCAAAAAAATCAATGCTTTAAACTTAATGTATTTATTTCTTTTATTTGTGGCATATTTAATGGCGGGTTGAAGCTATTTCTCTTCTATCCTTATATCTGCTTCCATTTATTTTGTTGAGTTGTTGTGTGATCATCCTTTATTAGTCCCTCCTCTTCAAGGAGTAGAAATAATTTAATAGCTTACTTCCTTGCTTTTCCTATTATGGGGGAAGTATACTCTAAACCTGAGAATTCCGGTACTTACAACCAGCAAACTCAGGTCCCTGATCCATCTCAATCCAATAGAACACGTCCTGCCTCAAATGCTGTTAATACCACAAACATAAATACAGACGCATCTCACCAATCATCTGCGGAGAATTTTGCCCGGCTTTCAAAAGGCCAGTCGCACGTTCAACATAACCCTCACACATCAAATGCATCACTACGACAGCCCATCGTGTCTCCACAAACTTCGACTCCTCCTCCTGCGAGGCTGTCTAGAACTCCTGATCCAACTATCCATGGGCGTAAGTTACTTATCTCAACAATGTTTTAGATAGGCCTTGTAGTAATTCTTCTGAAAGTCAATCGTATAGATCTCTCTTTGAACCATTTGAATTTTACTTTACCTCTTTCTTGCCTGTAAATTCCACAATTTCTGAGAGTTACTTAGCATTTTTAGAAGTATTAAATTGATATAAACTAGCTGGTATGGTTTTTCTTTGTATACCTTCTGCAGTTCCTTCATTAAAAATTCCATTCCTCTTTCTTTTCATATCTCCTTTATATTGCATAGATCCTACCTTGTTGATTCCCTTTTATGAGCATTATTAATATTTAGATATGAGACGCACCTATATTCTTAACATTGGTTTTCTCTGTCTGCAAATAAGATTCCTTGTTTTTTTCTAGCTGGATGCTCTCGCGAGTTTCTTATCTTGTCTTTTATTTCTGGTCTGTCGTAAGGTTCCTTGGCAATATTGTCGTGTTTACTAAACCCTTAGTTTATCTCTGCTTTGTCGCCAGCAATTATTATGGCCAGCGTTCAGCTCTTGGAATGATTTCAGTCAGTTAATTATAATATATTAGTAACTTGGCAATTTTTATGATATTAGTTTATATCTACTTGCCTATGCTTGATAAACTGACGGTGAAGTAATTTTATCAAATTTTTGCAATGAAAAACAATGTACTATCTCAATTCTTTGGCCAGTGCTTTCCATGTTATAAACTACGCTTCATTGCTTAAATAATATCTTAGCCTGACATTAATCTTTTACTCAAGTCAAGTGTAAAAATGGCATTGTATTACTATATACTTTTTGAAAACTGTTTCACGACTGCAATATTATTACTTGACTTTAATTCTTGCTTGAATTGACCATGTTTAAGACCTAAGTAAGACGATTGAGTGTCATGTTGGTTTGGGGAAATTTTATCCTCTTACTGACATGAATATGTGATACTAGATCATATTGATCTCGTTTTTGGCCAAACTTATGAAAACAATGTGTTATCCTTCCTTTTACCTTAAATTAGTTACTGAGGATATGCTCGCAGCTGTCCAGCTTTGTGGACAGCTAACTTTTGCCGCCTATCAACAACAGCAACGATCATCCTCTTTAGTTACACCACTTGCGAATACTATGCCGAGCTATCCTCCATCCACATCCTATCCTCAGCAACTCAATAAAATTCAAATGAGTAGCTTGGCGCCAGGTGGATCATTGAGAATGCAGACCCCTTCAACTGGTCCGGTTGGTATTGAGGCTTCATCTGCTGGGACAAATGCTCATCATTCTCGTCTCGGCAGCAATTCAGCGCTCATAAGTAACAATTCTGGTTTGGGATCTGCTGGCACTCATTTATCTAGCTCGGGCCAGCTTTCTCAAGGTAATGCAACTGTTATTGTATTCTTTTAGTCTCTTTTTTTAAGGTTAACTTCTTAGAATCCGCTTTTCTATTATTCTTTCATATTTAATTGTTTTACAGGTCGCCAACCTCAGACGACCCAATCCCAATTTTCGCCTGCATTTTCAAGATCGCCGGTTGGTTTAATAGCTAGCTCTGGTAGTGGTCCCCATCATCCACATGTAACTCAGCATTCGTCTTCTACTGGACCTGAAGTTAGTGCACCTTCTGCTACCTCAGTAGTTGCAGCTGCTGTGCAACATTTTGTAGCCGCTCAACAGCAACAACAATTATTGCCTTCATCTTCCTCTCTTCAAGCCCAATCCTCTTCTACAAGCATCCCAACGAATGTTACTTGGCCTCAACTTGTGAGCAAATTTAGTATTATGGCTTAATTTACAGCACTTGTTATAGGCAAAGATGTCCCCAAAATTTGCACTCTATACCTTTAAGATGTAGATATATAAATGCTTTTGTATCATGCCAAGATGCATTTCTCTATTAGCTGAAAAACAAGGCTAAATGCCTGACCAATCTCTTTCCTCATCTATCTACATAACAATCGGAAATCAATGGATTGCGAATTTACACCCATTTTCTATAATACCATTATGATACTTAGAGGAATTCATATTTAAATCAGTACATCCTACCTAAAAATCGAGTTTTCTTTACTTTTTTTGAAAATCATTATTAAAATGTTGAGCTTCGGCTGTTGAACAATCATAACTTAAAATAAAATTGTAGAGTTTTTGCAAAATCCCTGTTCTTTGTATTTTTTCGTGATGTTGACCATTACTTAAAATTACTTTGTTAGTCTTTCTGTCTCTATACGTATTTACTTTAGGTTAACTTTTCAACAGGGAAACTTATAGTCTGTTTATATGTATATAGGTTTTACTATGTAAACAATCCTTAAGGCACTTCCTTTTTTCATTCCTACATTTTTATATTAGGATTTTCTGTTTTATAACTAAAGTAAATCAAGCATACTACTCATATTTGAATGCGTATTTGGCATTAATCATAAGGATAGGAAAAGTTGTTAAAAGCCTACTTTTGGAAGAAGCGAATTGAAGTTGTGGCCAACTGGGTATTGATAGCAAATCGTTGGTCCTTTAGGCGATTATCGATGTTACTTCATATTTGGATTGCGGGCTACGGACGAGCAAGATGATAGCTTCTCAAAGAGTGGAGAGATGTAGTGGCAAAGGGACCAGCAGCTCACCTTACATATTCTGCTTGCTTTGGAGCATTTACAAAGAATTTCCCGCTTTTGGGGCCATTGACTTTAAGGAAGGAATGATATTATATTTTCGAGACTGGCCTAAGTAAAGTAAATTTCAGGTTGGAGTACAAGCTATTTGTGGACAGGCAGCCAACAGGCCAAGTATAGAGGCCTTTAACTATCTCATTATTTCTTAGCTAGTCCCTATTTAGGAAACTTTAAAATGCGTATTCAGGTCTCTTATTTTAATTTTTAACGATTAACCTCATCATACTGAGCAAATGCGTTTTATACTTTGCTTTAAGTCATATATATGCCTTTATTTTGGGAATATGTACTTTCGATACACTTTTACCCAATTGAATACTTGCTATGACCGAGTCGTGTTGTTAATCAGAAACTACTAAAAATCTCATTTGTTCCAATTCTCATATAAGCATAACCTGTTTTCAATATATTATTAGCCGTAATTTCCTATGATCGTATCAGCATTGCTGCATTAATGACACTTATAGGTTCTTTCTAGTTTAATGTCTTCAAATTATTTTATTTAATTATTACCATAGATGATGGACCTTTCTATATTTTAATAAAATCTAGCAAACTTGCACCCGTCGAACTCAACCACTATGCCAACCGATTTCAAGCCTTGCTAGTAAACGCCCTCGAGTTGCTGGGGCCACTGTCACTCCTGCCTCTTCTAGTACTCCATCTACGAATTCTTGTGTTGCCGTCTCCTCAACCCCTGCTTCGTGCGCTGGGGCATTATCTGGGTTTTCCAGTCTCGCGGCAAGTGGACCTGCAGGAGCCGGTAGCTTGCTGACCCTCGGAGGCACAGGAGTTTCTTTATATCCTTCTCAGTCCTCAGCTGGGTCTGGACCAGCGCCTGTATCCTACTTTCCCCTCTTTACTTGCGCTTCATCACCTTCGCCTTCTCGTCAACTATCTGCAATCGCCCCTGTCACCGTTGGCAATACTAATTTAAGTGTAGTTCCGACCTCCAGCTCTGGCTACCCTCAGGCTCTTCCGCAAGCTATTGGTGTGATGCCCTCTTTGTTGATGTCTGGTGGTCCACAACAATTTCAGCGTCAGCAGCATCAATTACATCCACAACCACGACTCGCCACTATTGGTAGTCCAAGTTCTAGCTTAAATTTGTCGGGAGCAAACGCGGCTATAACCGTGCAATTGTTGCAACAGCAGCAACAAAACTTGGTAGTTATTCATTTTCTTGGATTAAACAATGTCAATTTTCTGTTTTACCTATTCATTTTTGATGTTCCTAACCTTTCTACAGTCTTCCTTTTCAAGTGTCAGTCCCTTTTTATTTTTTATTTCATATGAACCATATTAATTTAACTTTTAGATATCATACGTTAGCATTGATTAGTTTATCGAAGCTAAGGTCTCATGTTAGCGTCATTGAGAATATTTAAGTACAAATGACTTGGGGGAATCGCCCTATTGAACTATGCTTCTAAATAATTGCCATATTTGGACCCCAGCTTTACCTCCATAAAAGGAAGAGCTGCATAAAGTAAGAAGTTGCGTTTTTGAAATAGCGAGTGTTTAAATTAATCTTCATTTGAATCTCACGTTTATTTAGACTATCGAGACGAAGAGCATCTGGGTTTCGTTTAATCTCATGAGGTAAAATTGTTGGGGAGACTCATTTTGTATGAAAGTGCATGAAGAAGAGATTCCAATGTCGATTTCACCAGAAAAGGACGGCCGTTTGGCTTTAATACGAATTTCATGTTGACACGGGCCATGAGACCTTTCTCATTTTGGGTGAAATCGGGCTGAGCTTTCGTTCATCAGATAATTGACGTCATCAGAGCTGGGAAATATTGTTGCAAGTCTCACGTTAACACTAGATCAAAGAGACTATTCGGCTCTATTTCATCCTAATTTTTCCTTCATTTCGTCTAAAAATATAGGCGAATTAGTGCGAAAGGGGGGATAGAAACGATGTCTAAAAGAACCTTCACACTTCCTTTGGTTATACCATTTTTTGTTGAGAAATATCATCCATTTTCGAGATCTGGCTGCCACAAGATTGTGGCCTTCTGTGGTCGACCTTATATTGGTGAAACATGCCACTATTTGATAGTCCAAGGGGACACAAAAGTGCTTGTAAAGGCAGTTAGGTCCAAAGGCCAGAAGTGGCTGAACACATGGTAGAGAGTGAGTATGAGATAGAATGGTCCCAAACGAGTAGGCTTGCTGATTATTGTACGTCTGCTATTAAAAGGAAGTACGAGAGGCTATTGAAACAAATAGATTAGGGAATACGTGAATGTGAGGAATGGTGGTGGAAATTTGACCAAGAACTACTTAACGAAGGTATGAAGACCAAGATGATGTGGCCTTTTGTGTGGTCGCAGTTTCCTTTCGCTGTATAGAGGTTGTTTGACCTTGCTTTCGCAACATG